AATTCGTGAGCTCAATGACATGGCTGATAGAGCCGCAAAAAGTGCTCCAAATGGTACAGTGGGACTGTGGATTCTGAGTCCTGTATCAATTAGAGCCATTCTTGACATGGATCCTGGCAGTTGGGCTTTTGTCTTTTGTTTTCGTTGTCTAAGGGGGTGTTTGGATAAAACCAAACCATGGTTTGAAGAATATACTTATAGAAATAGATTCTGTAAGAATAGATTTTGTAAAAAAGTGATTCTGAGAAGTGAGAGTGTTTGGATAATTGTTATCAGAAACACTTTTAATATATACAAATTACTAAAAAAACATAAGTTAATATGACAATTATATAAAAAATAGATTTTATGATATATTTTAATTTGAAGAAATAAATTGTTAATAATATATTTTTTTACCAACATAATTAATAATACATAAGATAATGTAATTATAAATAATTAATATGTGTATACATTTATAAGATATAAGATTAAATATGTATATAAAAAATAATTGAGGGATGTTAAAGTCATATTATTATTGAGATCTACTCTAACAGGCACAATCATACTCTCAAATTTGAGCCAAAAGCAGAATGGATTCACTTCTCCTGAAACCATGGTTTCAGATTATTAGCCTATAATTAATGCTGTTTGGGTGATATATCACTTAAACCATGATTTTGCCTCCTAAACTATGGTTTTGGAGGCCATCCAAACAGGTACTGGAGGGAAAGAAAGTCAGAAAGCAACAACCACCAAAAGGGATACGGCACCGTTTAGCGCTTGGTCCATTCGCGTTCCCGCCGCAAGTTACGACTCCGGTTCCGCATGCCCCTCGGCCCTCCAGATCCAAAACGGCGTCGTAGTTTTCTGTTTTCACAACCCTGAAGGGAGGCTGAACCGCAAAACCAGTAACCACACAGAATTTCGAAAAGGGACGGCAGACTCTAACCCAACTTGCAATCTTTCCCATATTCTTTTCTGCTTCGCTTCGGCATTCTATTTATTTTCTCTCCGATCTTTTACATATCTCCAGTTTTCAATCCTTTTCCGGAATTTTTTTCATCATCATCATCTCTATTGAGGTTCATGTTGCTTCTTTTTCCCTATCCTGATGATAAATTCTTTTGGCATTTAATTTTAATTACATTTTTTTTTTGTTAGAATATGGCCTTAGGGTTTCTGCTGGATTGCATGTTACCATTTTTGTACTTATAAGTAAAATTGACATTTGTTGTTCATAAGTATTTTTCCTTTGAGGGTGATTTTTTCACTTTTTCTTTATTGGTTTCCATTGTTATCGGTTTGAGGGCTTTTGAAATTGTTAAATTGGAGACAGTATCAGACGACGGATTTTGTGGGTGTGTACGGACTAATAGCTCAACGCGAAACTCCTAACCTGCGATAAATTTGATAACTTACCTTAATTTTTCTTTTTCAAAATTTCCATCGTGAATTTTGTTTTACTTGTTGATTATTTCACGGGTAGATTGAGGGGATTGCATCCGGGTCCTCTTCTTCCCTAACTTATCGAAGTACATGCCAATTATTTTTGTTGTTGTTGTTATGATTATTATGATGATGATGATTATTATTATTATTTTGACATAAGCGAAATATATATTAATAGTTAGACGGAAGAAGCATCATTGGTTCTTAATCAACATCCTTTTGTTAATGTTTTCTGTGAAGAATGCTTCCCCTTATTTCTTAGCTAAAATGTTTAAATACCTTATTCCCAATTTTATTATATAATGAATATGTGTACCGATTTTTGTTCTTTCTTTTTCAAGCGGCTGAACTATTGTGAGGCATGCATACCCAGCAAACTAGTCTCTTGTTACTTAGGGTATCTGGTTATTCTACATGCACATGGTAACGCATGACATGGATCCTGACGTTGTTCGCTGGGGTCTTCATCACCTTGATGTCTGTACACTTTCTAATAGTGGCTCGCCTAGTATCAGAACTCAATATGATCCGGATTTAAGTCATGTTGAATATGTTAGAGAAGGTTTTTATCATTATGAAGATGTGGAGAATGATGAGACAGTTGCTCGTGCTTATCAAGAAGAGTTATCACGACTTGATTCCATGGAAGCTTCTGGGTTATCAAATTTAGAGAATCAGCATGTTCGGGCGTCTATTATTGCACAAGATTGGTGTTCTGCTTCAAATAGATCTCATGACTCTGGTATAACAAACTTTGCAGCTGCACTTATCTGTTATTGTCTTGTCCCTATGAGGCATTTTGTATGGCAGTATTGACATAATGTCCACCATATGTAGGCAGCCAGACCTGTCAAAAAGCTATTGATGAGCCAAACAATATGAAAGAAAGGGAGAGTTATGGTCATAGTGAAAGGGAAAATGCTGTGGTACAGGATGTTGAGATCTCTGGCTCATCTTCTGGTTTAGATATGCCTGTTTTTAATGAAGATTTATGGCATTCCTTGGAAATATCAGATGAATCTGCCCTTGATGGTGAAGTTGGTAAAAGATTGAATCAGATGGTTCCTGCTCCTGTAAGCGAAACTAAATTGCTGCTATCTTCCATTTCTTTTTAAAATTCAACATCTTTTTTCTTCTACTGGATATCCCATATATATGTGTATCCGTTCTCTTCTTTGGTCAAGCACAATACTGTAAATGTTGTTAAAAGATTTCTTTCTTGTTTTATATAATTATCAGTTACCTCTTCAAGTCTCTAGAGATGTTTTTGTGTGTTCTGCGGTTTAGCATATTCTTTTAATCCATACCTTATTATAAATAGAGGAGGTTAACAAATGCCAACATTTGCTGGTCTTCAATTTTATTTAATACCTTCTCTACCTTGTATTTTGTGAAGAATAAAATAAACAATGAATGCTTTGGGTAGCCTCGATAAAGGGAACTTGACATGCAACTAATGCTGATACTATTGCTTCAGTAAGCTTTGATAAAGGAGGGAATTCATTTACGTATACTTATGAAGATGGTTTAACTTGTGATACCTGGTGGAATTGATATGGAACTAAATAATAAAGATAAACCAGTACTATTGTAATTTTATCTAAGGATGCTAAACGCCAGTTATGTTTGTTGATATGCTGCCAAAGGAATATGCATGTTTTAAAGCATTAGGAAATCTGGCGGATAAGATCCACAGTTCCGTCTAAGAATTCAGTTGTGGTTGTTTTTTACCCGTCACATCAGTATAAAAAGAAAGTTGTGCCACGAAAGTGAACTATGGGAATGGTGAAAGATGAGAACAATGTCTATCATATTGAAGACCACCTCTTGCTTTTCTAGATATTCACTTCGTCTTTTAATTATATGGGCATTAGAAATGATTTACTGCTTAAACCATTGGCCATTTTATGAAAGTTGAGGATCATTTTGATGTAAATGTAATTTACAAGCTGTGTGCTTGTCTTGTATACTTGTAATAAGAGAGAGAAAGTACTTGGGTAGCTAGTGAAGGGGTTAATAGGCAGTTAGAAACATTAGTAAGCCAACGGCTGTATAAGTGTAAGGGTCATTGTAATGTGAGAGTATAGCTTGTCTGGAATGAGAATTGAGATTCAATAACAGTTACAATTCCATAATAACTTGCTGTATGGTTTTCCCTGAAAGAGGGGAAACTGTGGATTAAAAAAATTATGCAGTAATTTTACATTTGAAGTTTGACACTTACACAGAGTTATAACCTGGACAATAATAATCATACTTATATTCCTCCTTTGTATTTTCAGCATGTTCCTAGAATCAATGAAAAGCTACCGTCTGATGATGAACAAATATCAGATCATCAAAGACTCCTAGACAGGTAATGGGCTATACTTTGTTTCCATCTCTTCATTTTGTGTTTTCTACTACATAGAATACGGAAATAAAAAAAAAAAATTGAATATGTATGTAAATCAAGCAATTCTTCACTCAAATACTTGAAGTTCTGTTAGGAGTTTACACTAGGAGTATCAATGATGCTATGGAGAGCTTTTGACTTATGCAGTTCACTATGGGTATGGGTCTATTTGAGAATCCTCTTGCTGATATTTGCTAAGTCAATGAACTTGGAAGCTAGCACCAAATTAAACTATTGGCTAAAATAGTTTTTTCTTTCTTATCTCTTAGGTTGTGTGTAATAATTATATTTATTTTGGCCCGAAGGATGTTTGTAATACTTCATTGCCTCATAATCTTCTTCTCTAAAAGTCAAGTTGACCTGATGTACTTCTAGTCTACTAGGTCAAGAAGGAAACCAACCTGAAAATCTCAAATGACCATGCCTAAGAGTAAAATTTCTCCCTTGTAATGTTTCAAGACCACAGATTTGGTTCCCTTCGTTTTGACAAGCCAATTTTTCAAGTGATGTTTCTACCACCCACTAATACAAAATATATGCATATATACACACATATATCAATTAAGAACTCTTTCTTTATCAATAGTACATGAACATAGCTAGAAATGGAGCTTACTGAATTATTTTCTCTTCCTTCTCTTTTCCTTCTACCACGCTAATGTCAGAACCCTTATTATTAAGTAATAGAAAGGGTTGGACACTTTTAAGTGATAATGACAAGGGTATGATAAATATTGTCGGTCTGTGATACCAATTCCATCCCCATTGTGTTACCAAAAATGCCCTCAAGGAAGGGGAGGATGAGCTTCTCTCACACCCACATAAACACCCTCCCCCGCCCCCCTAATGGGTGGCCAACACATGCACACATGGTTATGGGTTATTTCTGACTGAATGTTATAATTTTAATTAATTCAAATAAAGAAGTTTTAGTGTATTACTATCATTTGATTGTTTGTTTAACCATTTTTGTTTTGAATTAGAAGAGCAGGCATTAACAATCTGATGTTACAAATAGAATTAAACTCGTAACCTCTCACTTACAGAAGAGCTTTCACCCACTAGACTATAAGGCCATTAGCTATTTCAGTTGAGCCCTACCAATAATTTTTTTAACTGGGAATGATGCTAGAGGGTAGTCATTCATTTGTCTTAACCATACCAATGGCTCGATCTCCTTTTCTATTGCTATTGGAACGTTTCTATCAAATTGCAAACCAAAAATGTTGCAAATTCTGTTTTAGGCTTTCCATATTTTTATTAACAGTAAAATACTCTTAACTATCCATTTATTTTACCTAAATTACAGAAACTTTCTCTCTATTTTGAAAATATATATAAACCTCCTTGAAATTAAAATACATGTTACACAAACCACCATTATATATTTGAGATTTCATTTCCATCCATCCATCCATTAGGTGACAATTAAGTTTGACTTTTAAACTTTTGTTTTGACCAAAATACCCCTCGTTAACATAAAAGTTATTTAAACATTTATATTTGTCAAAAAATAATTTTTGATACAACAAAAAATAATGCTAAGACATGTATTTGCAAATTTTTACTATGCAATAAAGTTTATTAATTTTTGAGGACGTAGGGCAAATAATGATACTTATTCTAATTAGTTTCTGAAGCAAGAGATACAATATATAACCTAGCTAAGATAGGCTAGGATAAATCTAGGATAAATCAAATAATCTAGGATAAATACGAAAATAAAAAAAATCTATCCTAATCAGGCTAATAATCTAAAATACAAAGAATGAGATTAATTAATGAAACACAGCTTATTGGGCTTGGGCTTTGTCTTCCAACACTCCCCCTCAAGTTGGCGAGTAGATGTCGATCATTCCCAGCTTGCTCCTTAGTCCTTTAAATGAGTCTCTAGGTAATGGCTTAGTAAACAAATCTGCCACTTGATTCTTCGTTTGAATGTGAGACAAGTCAATGATACCACCTTCAATCTTTTCCCTTATGAAATGTCTGTCAATTTCAACATGCTTTGTCCTGTCATGATGCACAGGATTTAGAGCCATTTCTATAGCTGATTTACTGTCGCACCAAAGTTTTATTGATCCAGTATGCATTAGTTTCAGTTCTTTTAGAACTCTAATTATCCAGATCCCTTCACAGATCCCAAGAGCCAGTGCCCTTAGTTCTGCCTCAGCACTGCTTCTAGAAACCACCGGTTGTTTCTTACTTCTCCATGTAACCAGATTTCCCCATAAATAAGTGATGTATCCAGTAGTGGACCTCCTATCTAGCAAGGACCTCCCATGATTTGCATCCGTATAAATCTCTATTCCTCTAGACTCTCCTTTCTTCAAGAATAATCCTTTTCCTGGATTCATCTTCAAATATTTCAGAATTCTGTACACCGCTTCCATTTGCTGTTCTTGTGGTTGATTCATGAATTGGCTTACAACTCCCACGGCATAGCTTATATCTGGTCAGGTATGAGCTAAGTAGATGAGCTTTCCTACCAACTGTTGGTATCTTCCAGTGTCAACTGGTATACCATCCTTCTTGTATTCTAAATTGCAATCAGTCTCCATGGGAGTTTCTGCAGGTTTGGCTCCAAGCATTCCTGTTTCTTGCAGCAAATCCAGTGTGTACTTTCTCTGGGAAACATTTATTCCTTGTTTGGTTCTACCAATCTCCATCCCGAGGAAGTACCTCATCTGTCCCAGATCTTTCATCTCGAACTCAGTTGCCAATGATTTCTTTAATTTTCTCACAGCACTTTCATCATTTCCTGTAATCACAATATCGTCCACATACACTATCAGGATGGTTATTTGGTTACCAGCATGCTTTATGAATAGTGTATGATCTGATTGCCCTTGTGAGTATCCCATTTTCTTTATGGTCGTCGAGAATCTGCCAAACCAAGCTCTAGGGGATTGGTTCAACCCGTATAAGGATTTTTGGAGTTTGCAAACCTTTGAGCAATTTGTTGAATCCTGCAAGCCAGCAGGTATCTCCATATATACTTCTTCTTTAAGATCCCCATTTAGAAAGGCATTTTTTACATCTAATTGATAAAGTGGCCAATCTAGATTTGCAGCTACCGATAAAAAGCACCTCAATGGTGTTGAACTTAGCTACTGGGGCAAAGGTTTCTTGATAGTCCACCCCATATGTTTGTGTATATCCTCGAGCCACAAGTCTCGTTTTATATTTGTTTATGCTTTCATCTGGATTGTACTTGATAGTGAAAACCCATCTACACCCCACGGTTTTCTTCCCTAAGGGTAGATCAGTGATCTTCCACTCCTCGTTCTGTTTTAATGCCTCCAATTCCTCATTAATAGCCTGTTTCCAATTAGAGTTACCAATAGCCTCTTGAAATGTCTTAGGTATTCTCTCACTAGACAAGTTTGTTACAAATGTCTGCATTCTAGGAGATAATTTATCATAAGAGACAAACTTACTGATTGAATGCTGAGTACAAGATCTTACCCCTTTTCTGAGAGCAATTGGCCATCCAAGTTCCTCAAGATCTGACATTGGTTTGGAGGCTTGGTTATGCCTTGGAATGGGAGAGACTCTATTATCTTGCTGCTCCTCTGAATTTTGTTGTTCTTCTTCATTGTTTGATTCGGCACTATGCTCCTGGTCCACCCCTGTATCCATCGCAACACTATTCTCTAGATAGTTGGGGCTTTGTTGAGTAGAGGAAGCTTGTGGGTTTTCAGGTTCAGGTTGAGTAGAGGAAGCTGTTGGGTTTTTAGGTTCAGGTATGGCCTGGTTTGTATTGTCAAGGTTTGGTTCAGGGCTGTGTAGGCTTAGTTTCTTTGTTTGAGTAGGGGCATCCAAAATTAGCCATTATTCAGTATCGTAATTCTCCCCCTGAATGGGCAACTTGGGATAGTAGGCATCTTCTTTTGAAAATACAGCATCCTTAGTGATATAAACTCTCCTTGTCATGGGGCAGTAACACTTATAACCCTTTTGGGTAGGAAAGTACCCAAGAAAGATACATTTTAGAGCCCTTGACTCGAGTTTGTTGCCGTCATCTCGATGAATATATACGACACATACGAACACTTTTAAAGGAATGTCTGAAACTAGGGGTGAGTTTGGGAAGGTTTCAAGAAGTTTTTGGATGGGGATTTGGTAGTTGAGTACCTTTATGGGCATTCTATTGATAAGGTAGGTTGATGTGAGGATGGCTTCTCCCCAGAACAGGTTTGGAACATTCTTGGCAATCATAATGGCTCGGGTAACTTCTAGAGGATGTCGGTTCTTTCTTTCAGCTACCCCATTCTATTGTGGGGTGTATGCACACGAGGTTTGGTGGTGGATTCCTTGTTGGTCAAGAAATTCCTTGAAGGTTCTGCTGAGGTACTCTCTTGCATTGTCACTTCTTAATATCTTGATTGTCTCTTGGAATTGAGTTTTCACAAATGTGTGAAAACTTCGGAAAATGTTAAAGATTTCTGATCTTTCTTTCATTAGGTAGACCCAAGTTACTTGAGTGTAGTCATCAATAAAGGTCACAAACCACTTAGCGTTAGAGGTTGATTTAACTCTTGCGAGTCCCCAGATATCACTATGTATTAAGGTAAAGGGTGTAGTTGGTTTATAGGATTGTTCGGGATAGGAAGTTCTTGTTTGTTTTGCAAGTTGGCAAGTTTCACAAAGAAAAGGAATTGAACTTTTATTCAATAAATCTGGAAATAAGTGTTTCATATAATCAAAACTGGGATGGCCTGTCCTAGAGTGCCATAATAATACATCCTGATTTGAAGAATTTGAACTATACAAGGCATTGCCCACACGTTTATTGGTGATCCTTGAGCCTTCAAGATGATAGAGTTCGTCCCATTCTTTAGCAATGCCAATCCTCCTCCTCGTTGTCAAATCCTGAAAAACACAACCAGTATCATCAAAAAACACTCTGTAGTGACGATTTTTAGTTATCTTACTCACTGATAGCAAATTACATGCAAGTTCTGGGACAAGTAAAACATTATGTAATTCTAAGTTATTTGAGATCTCAACAGTTCTAACACCACAGACTTTGGAGAAGATTCCATTAGCAACTTTTACTTTAAGATTTTCATCATGACAATACTTCAGAGTTCTGAACAAAGCTTTATTACCCATCATATGGTCTGTAGCTCCAGAGTCAACAATCCAAGTATTATCACTGGTTATCATGGCATTTAAGGCTCCAAATGTGCTTTTGGAGTAGAGGTTGAGTTATTATGCTTCTCAAGAATTCGTTTGAGTACTTGTAGTTCTTCTCGGCTAAGAGTTTCTCCATTCTCCTCTTTCTCGTCAGTCACAGCAACATATCCTCGACTCTCTGGTCTTCGTTTTTGTTTTAGATTTGCTGGTTTGCCATGTAATTTCCAGCATACGTCCCTGGTATGAACACTTTTGTTGCAATGATCACACCATCCTTTAGAGTTCTTCTTTCCTCTTTGTTCGGGTCCATTGTTGCCTTGAGCTGTTAACGCCGAACTCTCAGAGGGTGTAGATACACTCAGGGTAAGTTGTTTTCTGCTTTCTTCACATCTGACCATGTTGAAAGCTTTAAATAGCGATGGCAGCGGCTTCATTCCCCTAATTCTTCCTCTCACATCATCAAACATGTCTATGAGACCGAGTAAGAACTCATAGGTTCTTTCCTTTTCGACCAGCTCCCTATATAGTTGGGCGTCACTGCTGCACTTCCATTCATGGACATCAAACATGTCCAACTGCTGCCACAAACATGTGAGAGAAGTATAATACTGTGTCACTATCATGCTTCCTTGTTTCATCTCCCTTTGTAGTTTTTTGATTTGAAACAAAGCAATGGTGTTTTCCATAGCCGAGTATGTTTTTTTTGCAGCATCCCATATCTCCTTTGCTATCTTAGCCAGTAAATAGCCCTCACTAATGTCTACTGTCATGGAGTTACATAACCAAGTCATTACTAGATTGCAAACCAAGTGTCATATTTTGGATCATCAGGACTTGGTTGTGGAGCCTCTCCAGTTATATATTTTTCTTTTCTTCTTCCTCGTAAGTACATAAGGACGCTTTGAGACCACTGTAGGTAATTACTCCCATTCAACTTGTAAGCAATCAACATCTGCTGAGTCTCAGTTGCCGTTCTAGATTCTATTCCCAAAGAAGGAGTAGAACCCAATGCAGAAGAACCCGTTGCGGGGGAGGAAGAAGAAGACGATGCTGTACCTGATGTAAATGCTGACGAAGAGCGCCTCATTGTGCCAAACAGAGGCGGAAAATCCCTAGACTCCATCTCGCAGCTACCCGTTCATGTTGGGGTCTCTAGACTGCACGATTATGATCGTGCCTTCATGCGACAAGTCAAGCTGATCTCAGTTCCGGACTGCACGATTATGATCGTGCCTTTGTGCGACTAGTCAAGCTGATCTCAGTCACTGTTTTTTGCACGACCAGGTTGCTCGATTATGGACGGAGATTCGTGCGCCTGGTCTGACGGTCTTGGTCACGGCTTTTGGCGCGACCTATTTCTCACTTTCGATCGCCCACTCTGGTCGGACGGTCTTGGTCACAGTATTTGGCGCGACTTATTTCTCACTTTCAGTCGCCCACTCTGATACCATGAGGACGTAGGGCAAATAATGATACTTATTCTAATTGGTTTGTAAAGCAAGAGATACAATATATAACCTAGCTAAGATAGGCTAGGATAAATCAGATAATCTAGGATAAATACGAAAATCAAAAAATCTATCCTAATCAGGCTAATAATCTAAAATACAAAGAATGAGATTAATTAATGAAACACAGCTTATTGGGCTTGGGCTTTGTCTTCCAACAATTTTGATCATATTATAAAATTTTATAATTTTAATTTTTCACTGCATAATGAAACTTATTTATGTTGGTTTCTTTTAAATAGCTAGAAAATATATTAAATAAGTATTTTTCATCATATAATATAGATTATCTAATGTTGAGAGGCTATAGAAATAATTTAAATTTATAATTTAAAATTTTTAAAATAAATATTTTGTTAGAAACATTTATAATGTATTTAGTCTCATATTTATTTAAAGAATTAATCAAATTTCCATTTAAGGTTTTTATGTCTACATTAACTAATTTAATTAATTTTCCACCCCAATATGATAAAAACACTAAACAAATAACTATTTGTAAAAATAAAAATAAAATTAAGGAAAAGAAAAAAAAATTTAAGTTCTTCACAAATTTTTAGTCAAAATTTAGGGATTTAGTATTACGAAGTATAAATTAGTAAATAAAATGTATTTTAATATAAATTTTAATTAAAAAGTATCTTTTTAGAATATTCTTAACTGAGTTAATGGTTTGGGCTTAAGTGTGTTTTAAAAATAGAGGGGAGGTTGGTGTAATTAGGGCAAAATGCAAGGAAGGTTAGAGTATTTTACTCTTACATTAATCTCCTTATTTTTTTGGGCGTGTACATCAATGCAGAAGCTATATTTTGTTAATATTATGGCTGTTGATCATATTATCTAATTTTAATTATTATGATCCTTCTCAGGTTGCTGTTATATGATCTGGTTGAGAATAAGGTTGAAGGAGATGGTAACTGTCAGGTTGGTACTTATGTTTTACGAGTGGTTGGTATTTTTGTGAGATGTAAACTTCCTTTTTAGGCATTATTTCCATCAATTTTGTTTGAATTTCATTTGAAGTTTTGGTGAAGCACGTAGCTTCCTACTTGGTTACATGTCTACGGCCGTTCAATTACTTGCTTCTTTCAAGTTAAAATAATTTTTTCTTAATAATAACTACATATTTTCTGTGGTATGACAACTTTAATTTTCTAAATAAATAGCAGCTGAATTTTTAGCAATTACCTGGCTGTGTTGACCATTTTTGAGCTATATGATTAAAGGCTTGAGTTCTATAAATGTTTTCTAACAGTTACAAATTATTGACATAAATTACTATGTTGTCTCTTGCTGATTTTACAAATGGTATGTAATGAGGGATAGTACCTGTAGCTAGGTTAAAGCTGAGTGCCTTAGTTTTATGTTCTTCCAGTTTCGTGCTTTGTCAGATCAGCTCTATCGTTCGTCTGAGTACCACAAATTTGTACGAGAGCAAATCATTGAACAGGTTTTGTGATGTTTGTGAAGATATACCACTGCTAATACTCCTTTCTGGTTTTGATTATGATAGAATTGTTTATTTTTTGTGTTTTATCAGCTCAAGTCTCACCCAGAACTATATGCGGGTTATGTTCCTATGGCTTATAATGATTATTTGAGGAAGATGGGCAAGTATGTTGATACCTGTCATTATGCTTGTGTTTTATATATGAGCTTTGTTGAAGTTCTGTTTTTGCAAATAATTTTTATCATACGGCTGAAATAGGAGTGGTGAATGGGGTGATCATGTCACATTGCAGGCTGCTGCAGATTGGGTATGAGGAAGCATTACTCTTGTTCTTATTCTTGACTTTTATTCTTTTACTTAGTGATATGGCTCAGTGTGCACATATTGCAAAGAGTTTGAACCTGATTTCTGAATTTTTCTAGGATTTTTTTCTTCTCTCGTATTGTTCAAATAGCAAGGTACAAGATTATATTAGGAAAAATAGAAATGTTAAAAGTGATAAAGTGAGCTTGATAGTTGAGCCTGGCTCCAAGTCACCAACGCTCTCCTTCAAGCTGGGGAAACTATATTGATCATTTCCAGCTTCCACTTAATTCCCCAAATCTGACTCTAAAAGGCTTTGGTCATGCACTCAAAAGTTGGTAGATATGTAGGATTGATAAATCACGCGACTCAATCTTTTCCTTTATTAAATGGCTATCAATCTTCACGTGCTTTATTCCATCATAATAATTATATTCTTTGCAATCTTAGTTCTAGACATGTCATTTTATAAGCATTGTTGCTGTCATTTTATTCTTAACTTTCACATTGCTTCTAGCCATTGCTAATTGTTCCTTAATTCTCCATGTGACCAACTTGCCTTAAACGTAAAACAACTAGAATTAAAATCTCTCCAGAGCGCGTAATAAATGAAGTGCGACCAGTCTAGCATTGAACATGTCCCAGCTGCCTTGTATCACATCTGAATCTGTTATACTTGGCTTTGGATTTTTGGTTTAACTGATATAGTCAAGTGTTATTGCAGTATGGCATCAAAATTTTTGTGATTACCTCTTTCAAGGATACATGTTACATTGAGATTCTTCCACAGATACAAAAGTCTGTAAGAGGTAAAACTGTTCAGTTGTTTCAATTATTATTTAAACGACAATGTTATGATTTTGGCTTTTGGAACCATGCTTTGTTTCACCAGAAGCAATAATGTGCCTGTTTGGTAAGGCCTTTCTTTTTTGGTTGGAAGGGGAAGAGTAGGTTATAGATGTGACAAGTCAATTTGCAAATTTGGGAGCTGTTTGTTACAGCTTTTGGCCAATCTGACTTATGAGTTAAAAGCTATTTATTTTTTAACACAATTATAAAAGCACCTGAAACTTACTTATAACTTATACAAAAACAGTTTTTTGGAATTAAAACACATTTTTTCCCTCATATTTATGTTGTTCTTATGTTTCTTGTTGTATATTCCTTGTGTTTCCTAATCAGTTTTTAGTTATTTATTTTTAATATTCTCTCAAGTGAAAATAATTTTTAACAGTTTTTATAATATTTTTTAATTTTTAATATTATTTTTTATTTTACATTTACATAAGTTATTTAGAGTATATCATCCAATTAATTATGTAATATTATTTGGTTCAAAAATTTTCACATTACTATGATTTCTAATTTAAATATATTTTATTCATTAAATATAACTTTTTTCCTATTATAATAATTTAAAATTATTATACTTTGTAAATTCATAATTTTACTCATTTTTCATTATTTGGTAAGTCATATCCGTTTTAGTCATTCCACAAATTAAATTTACTTATTCAATTATAATCCGAATAACTTGTTTATTTTGCAAACTAACTTTTATAAAAGTCAACCAAACACAAATCATATCACCCAATCTCACTTTTATAAAAGTCATATTGAAAATAAGTTATTTTTCTTATCACTAATCCAAATAGATCCAGTATGTTGCTTTGGTGAAACTCCATTTTGGGGGTGACTCAAAACATGACCACAAACATTTTATTTATTCATTTATTTTTTGAGTTGAAATACCTCCACCCTTGGCATGGCACTTCCCCTTGTAGCGAAACCTCTAGGTGCAACAAGAGGTCAAGGGCGTTGTGTGTTGAAATTTCGATAATCTCTAGTTTCATTTTACCCTATTTTCAGTTTTCTGGTTGCCTACCTGAGATGAAAGGTATTAAGAAAATGATAAAGATGGAAATATTACATTCCCCTTATCAAGAAAGATACTGAAACAAAATAAAATTTTTAAACTAATTAACATCCTAAAATCATGGAAATATTTGAAAGCAAATGATAAAAGATGTTAGCGGATAAAGCAGCCAATATTGCAATCACCAACAATTTTAATTTGGGTTAAATGTCATTTTGGTCTTGGAAGTATTCATGAAGTTATAGGTATCCTGAAGTTTTTTTTTTTTTTTTGGGACTTAATGTCATCTCCAAAGTGTATAAAATGAGCAATGTCGCCCTCTTTGTTAAAAATATTAACCATCAATGTTAGTTTTTTAATAGTTAATATTAGTTTTTTTAACACGAAGGACAACATTGTTCTTTTTTAAACACTTCTGGGGCGATTTTGTGCCAGAGAATGGCTTCTAGGTACCTACAGTTACGTTGCAAATATTTCAGGGCAAAAGTGACCCTTAACCCTTTTAATTTTTAAAGATTATTGCCTTAAAGTATTGAACTAAGTATCAGGCTTTCCTTTAGCACAGCTTTTTCCCTCTATATTTGCTATGTCTGGATCTGGTTAAAGAATAGTACTCCTGCGGTCTTCAATGTAGAATGTTGGTTTTTCATGAGACTTCTTTCACATATTTATCAATTTTTTTTCCCAAACTAACCCTATTGATCTTCCGCCAACAATAATTAAGAGAGTGAAAGAGGGAATTAAAGAAGACGTTTAAAGTGTTTAAAAAAAAACATATCATAGTAACTAATTTAACTAACATTCTTAATTTATTTAAATTAGTTCTCACATGTGGGAAGTATATGGCTTTTGCTATTGTGCTTTATATCTTTTGCTATTTTCTGTAGTTTGATTGTTCAAACGACATGTTTTAAAAGGGCCCTTTCACTATCAGCCGCATATCCTTAGTTTGGAATTCCTATTTGTGATCCGTACAGTGATATTTCTCAGCTTTTGGGCAGAGGTTCATTACAATTCAATCTATCCTGAAGGAGGTAACGTTTGCATTGTATTCCATATCTTCTTTCAATGCTAAATTATTGCTGGTTAACTCCCTTGAATAATTTTTTCTATTTATTGAGCGATAAATAGGATATATGTGGAAAAGGGCGAGGCAACCTTGTTTTCTTGACAAGATTCTTATTTGAAACCTGAATCTAACTTTGGTGTTTCCCTTCCTGATTTCACTTTTCTAATCAGCAGAGTACTGGACATTTCTAATGTGTATTAATTTTTGCGTGTTATCATGTCCAGAATTGCCTATATCCTGCTCAAAGAAGAAGAGATGGTGGAATTTTGGTGGATAGGCCCATTTCTAAACGGAGGCAACCATTTCACACGACACAGCTCATTTTAGATTGCAGCGGAACGTGTCCTATTTTGGCTCTAAAGCTCTGAATCATCACTATGGTCAATCAGCATTGAGATAGCTGGAGCCTATTGCTGCTGCAATTTTATACACGGATGATGCTGCACTATTAGGAATCCCATACAGTATTGATGTTTCCAATGCTTAGTCTCCTACAATTATTTTGTATAGCATTTCTTTTTATTTAATAATAACAATGTTCTTTTATTGTACAGGACTTATTTAATCTGTATATAATTTAATATATATATTTTTTATCAGCATCTATTCTTTTCTAAATTTTTTGGGGGGTGTAACAAATTTAGGAAATGCAAGCATAAATTACAAATGGAAAGGATTGAAGTTGTGACAACCTGGACGTTGTATGGACCTCTTGTTCCCCACATCTTCTTTTTGGGGGGTTAATGGAAGGGATGCTAGCGGCAAAACCAGCGAAGCTGTAGTAGTTGTTGTATTGAGAGTACTTTTTTTGTTTCGCTACAAAAGAGAAGGCTACACCCTAAATAAAACAACTAATCAGAAGGGGAGGTTAATCTCATACAATTATTATCCACTAGGTTCTAATGTACTACCACCCGTTTTCAATGGAAAAACTATTTTGATATTTAATTTAATTTTAAATATGAGACTCCAATCTACTGTGTTTTTTATATTTATTTATTTATTTTTAAAAATAGTCTTTGTAATAGATATATATGTTATGATAGTTCTAATTAATATACATAATTAGTAAGAATATTTTAAAAAAATAATACTAATTTATCACAAATAACTAAATTAATTTTCATAATATACTCAGATTAGTTAATTAACTCTTATATTAAAGACTAGAGATATACCAAGAAAAATATAAACAAATCCACTACCTTTATTATAGAATACACCTAATAGGGGGTGCTTTTAATTCCATCTTAGCTAAAGAATTAGCAACTCTACTTTGCTCTCTAAAAATATGTTAAGCTTGTAACTTTCAAATTTGTTGATTATCCTTTGATAGCATTATATCAATTAAGTTCTTAACATTTTACTCTTTCCGTTCCTTATTATAAAAGACGAATAACCAAATTACGCTGATAAAAAAAAATAACTAAAATTAGTTAAGAACAATCAATGTGTAAAAAATATAATTTTTTTTTCAAAAATGCTCTCATTAATAAGGAGAGAGAACAATGGTAAATTATTATAAAAAAAAAAGTGAGAAAGAGAGAGAATGTGAGTTAGAGACAATAAATACCGGTAAAATAGAAAATCAACACAAAAAAAGTAGAAACAACATTTAAGTGTCTCTTATATATAGAAACATGCCATAAACATCAAATGTCTCTTATAATAAGAAAGAGAGAAAGTATTTAAGAATAACTTTTTTGAATTCTAAATGCCAAGCCAATCTTAATTCCTCGAAAATAGCCCACTCTTTAGCCTCAAAGGCACTGCAACCGTACTGCGAATACTTGCAAGAAGCAAAGAGATGTGCCCTGTAGACGGGATATCGTAAATAGAGCCTTCATCACGGAGATGTGGACAATCTATAATCTGTTAACTTCTCTTGACATATGGACAGAAGTGACAAATCAATTGCAAATTAATAATTCATGGACTTCTCTAATAACATTGATGAACGAATGAGTCTAGTTTTTGCGTATGTGTCTTAGGGCCTTGTTGAAATCTATATAAGCATAACATTTAAATTATAAATTTTTTTTTTAATCAGACAAGGAGACATTTTCATTATATAAAAACTAAGACAATGCCTTACTCAAAAAAAAAAAACTAAGACAATGCCCAATAGAGGACCAACAAACAAGGCCATCAAGCTGATAGCCCAAAACAAAAACCCTAACCGTAAAACTAAAGCCGAAGGAGAAGCCAACGTCAAGATCACCAGAGAGAACCACTGTCGCTTCGCCGGAACCTACAAGGAGATAAACGTCGTTATCAGCACTGATATCTGTGTAAGGGGGGGGGGTTTGAAACAACCAACCCCAAAGGACCCCACCCCTCCTCTTGTAGGCTAGGAGAACCCATAGAAGAAGACACCCACAACCACTGACCACGTAAACGACATCGGAGAAGAAATAGAACTCACCGTCAACCGCCAAGAGACGCCTTTTAACAATGCATATACCTGACACTAACAACTGGGATTCGCCACCACCAAACAGGACCAACAACCATCCTCTGAAAGATATAGCATATGGCAGCAAAGACGGTGGCTAACAACTCCCTTCCCCCAAAAACATAAATCCAAGCCAAAAGGTTGGGATATGATCTATCACCATCAAAGCAAGAAATGCCGAAATCAAATCCCACATATTTGTTTATTGTCGGGGAGAGAAGGAACACCACCATAAAAACAACATCACCACACAAAAAGAAGAAGAAGAAGAAGAAGAATAGACAACACAAAAGATGGCCGTACCCTTTGTCCATGAAGAACGCTGAGGAGGGAGACGTCGTGACAACAGCTCGCATAAGAATGAGAGAAAGAAAACTCCCACCAGCTTAGGAAACTTCCAGAGAAGGAGAGGAAAAGCTCATCCCAAAGGCGAGAGAAAAGCTGGGACCTAAACCATAATTACTTGATACAACCAGCGTTTTTTTAAAAAATTACACTCCTTTGATCCTAAATATAACATCCTTTTATAGTGTAAATTACACTATTACACTATGAGAAAGGTTTATATTTAGGACAAAAAAGGAGTAACATTTTTCAAACTCAGAGATTCACCAAGCTCCAAAAGTGAATTGGGCCTAGGGATTATGTTTTAGTATGTATGAAATAGCATGATAATATACTATAAAAATTAGAGATAGAAGCAATCAGATTTTCCAACTGCGTCAAATAAAACAAGGTCTCACCATGAACAAATGCAATCGGAGCTAGATGTTGATGCTATGCTGGGGACAAAAAAGACTAAACCATAGTTTTGCGGAAACTAAACTATAGTTTTAAAAGTACTTTTACGGTATACGAAGTAAATATGTGAAGGAATTTACGGAAAATGAGATGGTTGATACACATAGGGGTTAGATTTAAGCAGAATGAGCTAGTCCTCATATGACATGCTAAGGTTCAAATTACTGTTTGAAAAAGTGCCCAACCGTATCTCAACATAATTACTTTTAATAGGAGAATATGCATAAGCAATTAAAAGAAAAAGGGATGGTCGACTAGCTGAAACACGTCGACTAGTTGAAACACGAAGGCTAAAATTTTGGGGCAAGATATGATATTGAAGGGCTAGAAATTGACTTTGGAAGTGTTTGGATAAAAACAAAACCATAGTTTCAGAACTACTTTTACATTATACGTAGTAAATATGTGAAGGAGTTTGTCTTGATTTGCGAAAAAATGCTTCTGAAAAGTGATTATGGGGTGTTCCAAACACCTCCTTCATGTCTGACATAGAATTTGCAAAATTGATAGAAAAATAGAGACAGAGGAAAATGAAGAGAACTCAATTTTAGAGGAGCGATTCAAAACCTCCAATCATCTTAGGATGTGTTTGGATTAGGATTGGCAAAAATAACTTTTATTCCATCTAATTTTTGCAAATGTGAGTTAGGATAAAAAATCAATTAGTAGATAAAAGTCAATTAGCATAATGCGATTTATGTTTGGAATGACTTTTATGAAAAGTCAGTTTGACAAGTTGAAACTTATTTAAATAATTAATATAAAATTAAGTTTAGATGTAAGATAATTAAAAAGAACATAAATTTTATTGAAAAATATATATTTATATTATATATTTATAAGGTGATAATTCTTAACAGGCAAAAAATAATAATTCTTAAGAGAACAATTAAAATGAAAATACTAGGCACCGATACTTTGTATGTACAAAACTGACTTTATATTAATACTCTATGGGTATAAAAATTTGCCAGGTGTTCTTACCAATCAAATTTTTAATGGGGGACTTTTTCCTACATTTTATTATTTAAATTTTTCCTTCTCTAAATACTTTCATAAATATCAAATTATTGGGTTTGTTGGAACAATTTTGTATTTTCTCATTGTCATCTTTTTCTTTCTCCATGTTCTTGACTGACTTTTGCATTGAAGGAGTTTTTTTTCTCAAAAGTTAATTTGAAAAAAAGCTGATCCAAACGAATTATCAGGCTCAAATTTTCCTACATCACGCATTTAACTATTTGCAATGCATGTTGTCTGTCACAACGTGAATCCAAACACGCGTTTAGTGTGTTGTGACTTGTTTTCTAAGCTTTGAATCTTGATTTTTAGGGTTTGAATGTGGGATTAAGGTATATAGAGCCCATGAATTATCTTGATTTTAAGGTGTCATGCTACTCATTTATGCGCTTGGAGAGGTTTTGGAACTTTACTTTTAAGCTAGATCTGAAAATATATTTTTTAAATGCTTGTTAATTCAATACTATTTCCGTTTTTAATTATAAGATCTCATTTGTAGACTATAAATAAGATCTTATAATTAGAACATGAGGTAGTATTAATTAATTCAGCCAACAAACCTCATTTACTATTTCAACCCATCAAAAGGGGATCCAAAATCTAGCAATATTTCATTTGAATAATAATTGAAATTGATCATTTAATTTACAGATTAGCTTAATTTGTAGACCTTTTGTCTCACAGAAAAATCTAAAAGATTTATTAGCATCAAAACACACACACACACACAGAGCTATTGGCATTCCCCATCTTGTTGATTTGCTTGCTCGTTGCTGGCGAAATACTGCTTTTCGGCTTCTTTGCCTTTACCCCACAGAAGAATATACACGCCAACAATAACCAAGACCGAGCCTGCAGCACTGCTTAGTGCACACAAGGGTATAGATATTAGGGAAAATGCAATCCGAAGAGATATAACATTTAGAATAATGTGATTAAAATTTACTTATACTTCACAACTATGGGGATGGACACAAAAATACCCCAAATCTTGAAATGATCTGATCACCATAGAGGAACTAGTTTGTGATTAAATTCTGTAGCTAATGTACCTAAATGTCCTTGATTTGAAATTTGAAAAATCAACAAAGCTAAATGACTGCAATATTTTAATAAGTAATAACCCTAACATATCAAATAACAACAACAACTGTTGGCAAACAAAAACATCAATAACTAAGATAGTGACAACAATAATTTAAAAAGTAATAACTTCACCTTATTAAATGGCAACAACAACTAAGAGTGATAATTAATGTTACTAAAGGTAATTATGTCATTTCACAAAAACGTAATTCCATAATAGTCTTTAAGAATTTCATAGGAATTTCGGTGGGCCTTA